ACTTAAATATTCTACAGTCAAAATTGCTTCTAAGCATTTAAACATGATTTTATAAAGTTAGATTTTACTTCTCATGTGATCCAGAGAATACTAATATGTGCATTTACACTGAATATAAGCCACAATTTCCAAATGTATGTTTTAGGGGCCAATATCAAGATTAATAAAGAAAAAAATTTCAACACCGAAACAAAAAACAGATTCCCGTGGCAAATGCAAGTAACTACCACTCACTGTCTTTACCCCCAGAACGTGAGCATACTATTCCTAACACTGAAGTCACTAATGAAGACAAAATTAATTTAAACTGGAGACTCAACTAAAGGAAAACTTAGCTATAGTAATGCTTTAGCAAATCTCAGATTTTTAAGTTCTCATTCGTTCAGTATATATTTCTTGAGTGCTTGGGCCTTTAAGATACAAAGGAAAACAGAATATAGTATTAGCCACTGATGGAGAGAGAAATTCAAACAAACAAATCCAGTAAACAGTGATTTTTAAGAGGTTTCTCAAAAATGCTGTGGGAACGAATACCCTTCTTGTAAACTCTTATGAAAAACAAGAACACTGATAAATTCTGCTGGGCTAATGAATGGGTCCACGGGCAGGAAACAGGAAACATTCAATCCTCTCTGAACTCGCCTATCTATTCATTATCAAGTCCCAAACAAGCCATTTAATGTCACTGGGCCTTGCTTTACAAACCTATAAAATGTCTAGTGAGTGGTAACAAGGGATTGTTTCACAGGAATTTTATAAGCAACAAAATTTTGTGAGGTGGCTTCTTTATGACATCATTTTGAGTCTCCCAATCTGTAACATATGACGGTAAGTAAATGCCCTTAAAAGCCTGACAAGAGCAGATGACATATAACAGATATTCTCTTATAAACTCTTCCCTAGAACAAACAGGTAAACAAAAGATGACATAATTACGAAGACACTGGTTACAAGATTTTTAAAAAAGTTATGCTTGACTTGTATGTTAACTCCTGAGACTAATCTTTCCTTCTGAAAAGCATATTAACACTCTCAGGATCCAGGACCTCAAGAATATCAAGAAACAGGAAAAAAAAAAAAGGGAGAGGTAAACTTGTTTCTCAGAGAGTGGGCATAGAACTGCTTTTTGATATAAGATAATAAGCACCAAAAATTTGACATGTTAAATTATGAACATGAATTCCTTTAAATTTTTAAATTAAAACTAAATAAATAGGTGAGTGAATAAGATACGGTATATTCATAAAATGGAGTTACTCAGTCATAAAAAGCAATGAACTACAATGTGATAAACCTTAAAACATTATGCTAAGTGAAAAAAGCCAGACATTTAAAAACTACATGTTATATAATGACATTTATAGGAAATATCCAGGAAAGGCAAACTTATAGAGACAGAAGGCAGATAGTGATTGCCTGGGGCTGGGTGGGAGTGGACAATGACTTGCAAACTGACATGAGGAAACTTTATGGAGCAATGGAAATATTCTAAAACTCATTATAGTGACCGTATAACTCTATACATTTATTAAGAATCATTGAATTGTACACTTACAACAGATGCATAAATTATACCTCCATATAACTGTTTAAAAATGAAACAGATACCAGTTAAAGATATGTTTAGCTTAAAATAAAAAATGGCGGGGGGT